AGAGAAATGCAGAGCTAGGGAAACAGCAAGACAAGATGAAAGCAATATGGAAAGCCATAAGATGGACAGGAAAACAGCTCTGCTCTTAGAGTCACGCATAGTTAGGAAGTCATACACTAAGTTAGGAAAAAATCTTGAAAAGTCACCTTGTCAAGTTTTTGGTCTGGTGACCTTTTCTGAAATCTATAGGTCAAGTTGCCTGGCATTTGCTCTTGCTTTGGCTCTGGCTTTAATGAGTCCTGTTTTTGAGCTGATCATCCTGCCTGGTGCAGTTGGGCAGTCATATTATGGGAGGTGCGTTTCTTCAACTCCACTTTGGAATCACAGACCCTCAACTTCACTAGCATGAAGTCTGTATCTGAGGCAAGCCTTCCTTGTCAGATACTATTCAAAATGGAGTTCCTTGTCCAGTGCATGTCCATTGATAGAATCCACAAATTCCTAATGCATCTCTGTGTGAATCGCTCCTCTGTTCCACCACTGCCTGTTGGTGGTGTGCACATATGTGAGCCATTGCAGAGAACAGAGGGGCGATTCAGATGCTGGGAACATTTTCAAAATAATGATACTCAGTGGAATTTCACATAAACTTCCATTTTAATTTATGACTATGGGCCACTTTTGTCAAATAAAGCATGTATTTACAATATTCAAACATTTAAAGCTTTTGAAAAATGGTTAACTCTTTTGGGTTTGGGTTTATGCTTGTCTTTAAATGTTTACATAATTTAAGTTTTGACAATGGTAAAGGCTAGAATAGAAAGAGAAACAATCCAATGTATGCTAAACAGTGCAAAGATGGTTGAAAGATGGATAGTACTGAAGACTGAGCATCTGTGGATCACCACAAGTCATTCTTCCTGTTCTGATTTATCCATTTAGCCTTTCCTTCATTCATCCACTTTCACTGTATCCCTCTCACATACAAACACAGTATAGTAACAAAACTATTTCTACTGTAATGGGGAAAATTGTTCAAACTTTCCCTATAAAATACAGGAGTTGTTAAAAATGCCACAGTATTCTGGAAACATTTAGGTAGCATATAATATAGATTACTTAGATAGTATAATATATGATACTTAGGTAATATACACAAATAATAACCACAACCCAAGAAGTCCTTTCTGCTTACAGACTTTATTCCAACCGTTCGGTGGTTAGGAGGTCCCTTGAGGGCCTGAAAAGCCGTGCAAGGACTGGTCTAAGTGCAACTGCTTCCCAAGCTCTGGGCAAAGCTGTGGCTTTTTCTGTGATGAACTAGCACCTGGAAGGTGGCCCACAGGGCTGAGAGGTGGATGGCAGGATGCACCTGCCCTTGTGGAGCTCAGGAGAACTGCTCCTTGTATTCCTCTAGGAGGCCAAGAATGAACTCCTACCCTCACAGATGTCAGTGAATCAGTCCCTCATGAGCCTCTGGGAGTGAAAGTAAAGGAGCAAGAAGTTATCTGAGCTTCTCAAAGGGAGATGAGACATATAATGATTGTTTCCAAATCACAAAGGGTGCTTCCAGTCTCTAGGGGTCTAGTCAAGAAATGCAGTCAGTATTAGCATCTGTGAGCTTGCCTTCCCCATCTGTGAGCAGGGAGGGTGGGTCCAGGAATCAGGGCACTAGAGGAGCACTTCCCACTTGTCAGGAAACCAAACTGTCAGTTCTTCTTGGCATGTTTCAAAAGTGGATTTTAAAACTGTATTTACTATCTCCTGGGAAGTTGTAGTTTTTTATGAGAACTCTCTCAGAAGCCCTTGTCAAAACTGGGTTCAATTCAAGGTAATTGTAGAATATTGAAGTACTATATCCAGTAATGTCATATGGAATTCTCCCACTTGGAAAAAAGCCAGGGAGCACCACACGGGTGCAAGTTGTCAGGGACGACTTCTGATATGTTTTGAAACATAGAAGCTTTGATTCTAATGTCTGCATCATATGCTAAACACATGTGACCTTGACTAAATATCACATAAATTCCTCGTCAACCTTAATAGTTTCCTTGTTTCAAAACACATTTGTTTTATAAGTAAATGCCATAAGGCCAATATTTTAAGGTGACTACACAAAGTTTAAATGGAAAACATATCAAATATGTATGTCTAACAGCTACACAAAACACACATTTCCACATAGTTGCAATTTTCCTGCTATTTTAAGTCAAAGTGGAAGGAGAGAAATTTTGCACACATTCGAGTCCTGCGCTTTGGTACCGTTGACAACCTTAGGTATTTTGACAGTCTCAACTCCACTTTACCAACCCAGAAGGACAAAGTTAAATGGAATTAGACTTTTCCAAAGCTCTTTCTTTACCAGTTTCTGTTTGTGTGTTTCCAAAAGTTTTCTTCAGAAAAGAAGGCCACATAAAGACTTTAAGGCCTCTGTGAAAGACGAGAGATGATTTTGAGTGTTGTTTTAAAGCTGGTGTTTGCTTTTAGAATTTCCTTTACTTTCTAGTTTATGATCCTAGTTCTTTGGTTCTAAGACCAGCTCACCCTCCTAACCACTCCTTCTAGGACTAGAGAGGTCCAGGATAACACACTTTCCCAGCATGCATGGGAAGAGACAGTAGAGAGAAAGAAAAGGCAGTTGAGGGGGAGCAGGGGAACAGAGGCAGGTCCTATAGCTGTTTTCTGCTCCCCTCAGCGAGAAGCAAGCCCTCAGCTGCTGTTTCCGCTCAGCCGCCTGTGCGGGCTTACAGAGATGATTTGGGTCTCACTGAAGACACATCTTCTGGCAACATTTGGTTCTTTCTAAAAACGAAAGAGGCAGGATAAAACTTTGAAGGATTTTTTTTGATTTTCTCTCTAAAATGTAGATGAAAGCAAATACCAGAGACTTTTAGAGGGAAATGATATATTAAATCATTTAATGAATGTTATGGTCTATAATTTAGATAATCTGACATAGTAGAATATTTTTAAGAATCAAATTTTAAAATGTCCTCTATATGTGTTTAAGTGCTATTTACTATTTATTGCTAAATGTAAAGCAGTAACACAGTAGTATAATTTAATATAATGCATGTATACCTATATAAAATATTAATCTGCTCTGTGGATACATAAATGATCATGTTTCTGTTAGAATACAGATACCTTCCAGTACATAGCACATTTATTTCATGCTATATTTTAAATAGGAATAAGCTCCTACTTCCCTAACTAAAGGAATATTTAATGTAATAACAAAAGCTTTTACCAGCATTTCAGCCCAGAAAATAACAAGGTTTATGTACGAAATTTATCTTCTATTTTTAAATTTTAAAGTTTTGACAGATACTATACCTTCAAGAAAAAAAGAATATTTCAATACCTAAATTCAGTATGGTTTATGGACACTGTTAAAGTGTGTTTGAGGACTGGATTGAGTTCTGAGTCAGACCAAGCCAGAACCTTGATAAAAGCTTCTGGGTGTATCTCTTCTATACAGTTTACAGAGCATTTTCAGACACAGCCTCTCCTTGGACTCTTAGGATTACCCTACAAGAGATAGGACAGGAATCAAGATGTCTTTAGAGATGATGTGTAGTGTCAGAGATCTCCAGTTTTTCATTCTACCTGGGAGAGAGCAAAAAAGGGCACCTTCCCCATTATGCAGAAGAGGTAGCAAGGTGTTGTCACTGCCAAGTACTGGGGTAGGGACCAAAATGTCAAGACAAGAAGTTGACAGTGAGCATGTGCATCTCCCTCTAATGACCTGGAAGTATTTGAAAAACTGAGTAAATGTATTTCTCAAGGAAAATTCTCTCCTTAAGGTAATACTGATCATTCACTCATTTTCCATTTATTCAACATGTTATAAAGCTCCTATTGAGCATCATACCTTCTTCTGATGCCAGGAATTTAGCAGGGAACAAGACAAATAGCCTGCCTTCAGGAAAATGTACACTCCTATGGAATATTCAGAGCAGTAAATGAGCAAGATGGTTTCAGAATGTGATACACGCAATGGAGAAAATACAAGGGGAGATGTGATAGTGATGGGGGAGGGAGGGGGCGAGAGCAAAGAGGGTTGTTTTTTTGTGTCAGTGATCAGAGAGGTGAGAATTGAGCTGAGGCCTTGAGAATGAACCATCTTGACGGAGCCAAGGCTCAGAAGCAGGAGTGAGCTGAAACAGGGCGGCCGTGTGGCTGGCAGTAGACAGTGAGGAAGAAAGGGGCAGGAGCTCCGACTGGTTGTGAAGAGCTGCATGGGCATGGGTAGCAGCAGGAGCTTGTGCTAAGTGCAAAGAGAAGCCATCAGAGTCTTTTTTTGGGAAGGAAAGGGATGTGATCTGATTTATGGTTTTAAAGAATGTCTGCCTGCTAGGTAACAGAAAGTCAGAGATGGATGAGGAAAGACTGATGATGAGATTATTTTAATAGCCCAGGCAGAGATGGTTGTCTGCTCTGGTGGAAGCAGAAGGAAAAAGCATCCAGAATCAAGATGTATTTTGAAAGGAGAACTGACAGGATTTACCAAAAGACTAAATGTGGAAGAGGAGAGGGAAGGGAAGAGACAAAGAATGGCTCGTCCCCTGGCTTGAGCCTGGGGATGGAAAACTCACTCACAAGCCAATGGGATGAAAATCAAAGTTTCTGTTTCAGGTGTCAGGTTAGAGATGTGTGTGAGAAGTGCAAGAGGCAATGTGTGGTAAGAGACTAGGTATGTGAGACCAGGGCTCAGGACAATAAGAGAAGTTTGAAGCTATTGGCACATGGGTAGGGGGTGGATGAGAACACTTAGGGGAAAAAGGTGGCCAGGGAAGAGAGGAGGGCTCTAACCCTGACTCTGAACTTGGTACACGAAGACAGAACAGCAGAGGAATGTGTGAGTTGCTACCAAGGACAGTTAATCTATGCGTTCAATCTAGTACAAGCTCCCCGGAAAATCCACAGATGAGGATAAAGAACTTAGTCTTTAGTTATCTCTGCCCTCCTGTCATGTCTGATAAAAAAATTTCACCTTTACTAAAGTACCTAAAGGTACAGTTTTAGAGGCTACCATGTTACCTACTTTAAAATCTTACCTTTGCTCCAGTGTCCCCCACTCCACGTAAACCCATTGGTCCAGGGGGTCCTGGTAATCCCCGAGGGCCCTGAGATGACATAATAAGGGAGAGAGTGAGCATCTTTGTCCTGTGCAGTGCTCATCACGGAAGAAAGAGAAAGAGGGAGGGAAGATTGGAGAAAGGAAAGGAAGAAGGGGTGGGGAGGGAAGGAAGGGAATGAAAGCAATGTCCACACTTACGGGCACACCAGGATAGCCGTCGCCTTTGAGTCCTGGAGCTCCCGCTGGTCCCTGAGGGCCTTGGGCACCCTGAGTAAATTCCAACACCAGGTGGTGTCATAAGACCAAACAACAAAGAAAGCACCTGGCAAAACTTCAGGACAGTACCCATTCTATATGCCAAGTGTGGATGCAACAAGTACAAAAGAATGATTTAATAATTCTAGAAGGGAATCCTATCCCGTATGGCAACTCGTATCTCTTCAGTAGTCTTACCCATTTGCGTTCAGTGGGAAACATGGAATGCATATAGGGAATGTATACAATGATTACAAAGTCCTCTATAGGAAAAACACAAACATATTTTATTTTTAAAAATGTTGAAGGTTTAGTGCATTTTTAATCAGGGAGAAGTATAAACATGAGGAAATTTAGTAAGCATAATGTGAGAAGAGAAGAATAATAGCAAAATTTCACATGTAAATTTGTGAGTGTGAAGGAAGATAATTGTATGCTCCCTATTGTTATGTTGCATCCATTGTCTTCCTCAATGAGGCCTAAGTTACATGGGAAACAAATAAGCCTAAATGAAATGAATGCACATTAATTAAAAAAAAATAAGTGAAAAAGGGATAGGACACAGTTTATGGTTCCTATCTTGAGATGGAGGAAAAATTTACACATTTATTTACAGTGAAAAGCTTAGGGATCAAAAATTTCAATAGTAAACATTGGCCTCCTTTAAGGAGTTAGGAAAGGGTGATTATTGCCTTTTGAACATCAGAGCTTTCTGAGACGTGTAACTCTCCTACAAGTGGAAATCAAAGAAATTCCTGGCTAAAGCAAAATGGAGAGAGAAAAGGAGAAAAATGAGGAAGACTATAAAGGATTCATATTTAATAAGTCTCTCATATTTAAAACATTTCTTTTTATACCATGGTCCATTCTGTTACTGTGATAACTCTTACAATAGCCTTTGCCAACACATGCCGATTATTTTGATAAAGAGCTATTCATATTTTAAAATATTTATGGTTTTTTGCATTAGAAGGAAACTAATAATTGGCAGACCTTTGTTTTCCAAGCTTGGAAAAGTAGCAGGATACTCAATACTTTCCTTAAATGCTAGCAAATTCTAGTATCAAACTGCCATTATTCCATGCCAACACATTGCCTAAAACCCACTTCCCAATGTTCCTAATTCCACTCCTGTGAAGGAATAATTGACTGAGGGGAAAACTGCATACCCTTTAAGTAGTAAGAAAGTTACATTTATTTTGAAAATCATGAGTGCAACAGCTGTTTTACCCATTAAATCTAAGAGACTGGTTTTATGTGGTTAACCTTCCCAAGAATAATCTTCACAAAACATGTGGTCACTTACAAAACCTTAATGTGCTATTTATCATCAACAAAAACCCAAGATGATCTTTCAGAGTTGTACAATGGAAAACAAAAACCAGTTCTGGAGAGATGAATTTTGGTATATCCCCAATTACAGGGAAATGGTCACTTCTCAGAAGCACTGTATTATAATATTCCAATTATGATTAAGGTTCAAGCTGTAAACATTCTATATGGATGTATCCCAAAATAAGATGCCCATTTTTTTCCCATGCTTGTACAAGGAGCAGGCTGCCAGCAAGACACGGCAGTAACTGCTTCCTGGTTAGGTTGAAATGAAAAGAAAATTGGAATCAAAATTCACTTTCAGTTTTTATTTCTAAGCTTCAAGACTTTAATAAATTATCAGCAGCTGTTATTGTTTATCCCCTGGCACTCACACTGGGAGGAAAAATGTTCAAACATTCATAGTTTGCAAACTTTTTTCCCTAGAGATCTTTGTTCTCTCTCTCCTGTGAAAGTTTCAGTTAGCTTGTTACTTTTAATGGTAATAAGAAATATCAGGGGTGAATATAGGAGCAGTGTTCTCTCTCAGATTTTTATTTTGGGCTCTTCACGTGTTTCTGTATATGGAATTTGGCCACTTGGCCTTTCTGCACTGGATTCAAGAAAGTGTCCTGTAGAGTGATTCACTTCGAGGTGTCTTTCTCATTCAGTAGAAATTAGGGCAGAAATCTTAATCTGGTGTTTTGAAATGAGCTTTACGGGGGATCTGGGAGCTCCCTGAAATAATACACAAAATGGAATTAATGTGCCAAAACTTCCATCAGATATTTAACTCTTCAAAAGCTTGAAAAATAATGCATTAGGGGAAAATGGCAGAAAGAGTATCATGAGAGACCAAGAGATTAGAAAAATCTCCAAGTGAAGAGACAAATAACTTTAAACACCATCAACAACAATGCCCTGTAATGATTCGTAGAAAGCAGGGAGGGCTTACAAACCCCAGCTGCATATTTAATTGGATCTTATTTCTATTGTAAAGAACTGTATAAATAGAAGTAACTTTAAATCATGGGACTAGGAATACACAGATTTAGAAAGTTATCAAACAATATGAAAATTGTCACCCAAGTATTCTTCATCAAGGTTATATTTCTAGTTTCAGCATTAGGAAATTTGGAATTTTTCTCCTTGAGTCATAAGCTTGAGTTCCCATGTGCCCCAGAGGCCATAGGATGACTTGTTCTGGTATTCCTGAGATTTTCTTTGTTTTAGCCTGGAAGTCCCACATCCCAGGAACCTCCTCTGTCCCCAACAAACCAGAAGATTGTCACTTTAGCAAGGAGGACAACTGTTAAAGTGATTAAGAACAGTGGCGGTCAGGATCCTCCTTTGACCTTCAAAAAGACCACTCCAACTTAATGTTGTATGCCTAACAGATTTTGCATTATATTTCAAAGATAGTTCTAAGTGTGCTTTTTTGAAGTTTGAAAATCACTGATCTTAGCACTCGAACCCTTTTATGTAGAAGAGACTATTTGATAGAACTGAGGCTTCATACCTATGTAACAACGTGCTACCAACTTAATAAGCTCTGATCACAGAGCCCTGAAGCCATATCTCATAAACAGGGATATGCTTGTTCACATTTGCAGTGTGAAAGTTTGCTGTGGTGCTGGGTTTTGTGTGAGGCAGGAAATGGTTGCCGTGGAAGAACACATGTGCTTGGTTAAAGCTGTCTTCTCCTATGATTATATTTGCCTTTTCATTTAAAATAACTCTGAAAGATGGACACCAAAGCAGATATATTTGATTCAGTATAGCTTCCAGACGTGAACTTTTTGGACCGTATTTTGCAGAATAGCTACACCTTCCATTACTATGTAAATGAAAGGGCCTAGAGGCCATATAATCTCTTACATCACAGACATTAGAAAGACAGCATTTTCAAACAACTGTTTAGTCAGCAAAAAATTAACTACAGGAGCTATTATTCCCCACACTTATGAAAAATAAATGATCTGATGGCTTAATTTTTTTGAGGGAATAGTGTATCCTCACATTTGAGTTTATCAATGTAGAGACTGCACGTAAAACAAATTCAATCATCAACTTACTATGTATTAAATCTACTTTCACTTCCCTCTCATACACAGAAAAAGAAATGGTACATTAATAAAGCATACCTTTGGTCCTCGAATAGCAATTCCAGGTTCTCCTTTAAATCCAGGCAATCCAGGTCCTCCTCTATCTCCCTGTACATTTCAAATAATGTTTACAGTTTCAGGCTTGAGGTTGCATGAGAAACCAGACCCACACCACAAGAAAGAGATGGCTCAGCCTGGGAAGAGCTAAATCTATCTGCCTCAGATTTTGAGAAAGTACATTCTCCCAATATATTTGAGGGGAATCTCAAATCCTAAGCAGTTCTAATCCTAAAACCTGTCAGTAAAAACTACAACAGGTGTTTAAAGAAAGGCCACTGAAAATAACAGGTAGCTATCTAGATTCAAATATTTAGGCTTTAAGAATGTTTGGAGGTGCTCTTAAATCTGAGTGTATTTCTTTTTTGCTAGACTTTCTGATTATAAATTTAAGTAGGTTCTTCTGAATAAATGCAACAAATTCTCATCTGTGTTAGGTTCTAGGATTTGGGGGAAGTAGTTCAAGATGAAGTGGCAAGTTCAAGACCAGAAGCAAGAATTTTGGTTTCTTTTATTTGCTGCTGGCTTTTAGTTCAGTTAATTATGAAATATCAGGGTTAAACTAAATAATATTTTGGGATTCTTGCAAAACTGAAGTCCTAGTTCACTGCTATGATGAGTTCTTTCTCCCAGCAAACTGCCAAGATTCAAGTAAAAGAAAAATATATGAATGCATACCTTTGGCCCAGGTGGGCCAGGAACTGATGCTCCAGGCATTCCAAAAGGACCCATAATCCCCGGATCACCCTTAAAAAAGAGTAAAAGCTCATTACATTTCAAGTAAAGAAATGGCATACAGGAATTATATTAGGAAAAACACAGAAATGTATTTCCAGTATTTTAAAATATTATGACCTGTCTGTTTCACAGGTCCATATGAAAATATCTGAGCTTCCTCATTAAACCACTACTAAAGTTATTGGTGTTTAAGATTTCAGTGCCTTTAATAAATGTATTCAATCAATTCCTGAGTATTAGTGATGTTTTATCTCTTATGTATCCTTTTATTAGCTAATAAAAATTATGCAATTCATGGTGCTTCCCTTTTGAGTTACATGCCTGGAATCTCAGAGGGAAATATTCGTTCAGTTATAACAATTATCTTCAGCATAATTTTTTGAACATGCTTGGTAGATAAATAGGTTCCTTCTCATTTATATCATTTTCCTTTGTTATTTTAGCTTATGGTCCATGGTATATGTCTTCCATTATATGCTATCTCACATCCATTTTTAGTAGAAAGTTTATGGTTAAAAAAAAAAAGAAATTTCCAATAGAAACACTAAAAAATTTCTCAAATTTTTTTTTTGTGGTATCTCAAGAAAGACTTATTCAGGAGCAACAAACAATATCTTTGTCCCACCTGTCCAGAACAATGATTTGATCTAGAATACTCAAATTTTAGTGACAGAGAAATCATCAGAGGAATTAGATAAAATATAGTCCAAGGTTTCAAACTCTGAGATTTTAATTCAATAGCTCTAAGGGCTAGGCCCAGGAATATGAGGTTTTATGAGGCACCTCTGGTGATTCTGATATATGTACAATCACCACACTTAAAAACACTATGCAAAGTAAAAAGTTATTTTCATTAAAAGAGGTTGTACCCAGTCCAGGAGGTGTCAAAATGGCCCACTTGGGATGGTAGAAGAAAATCTTAGGGCTACACTATAGATTTTTGTCTCAGCTTTTAAAATTTCAATTATTTATGCAAATATAATATGTATGATAGTTTATGAATACAAAATGCAATTAAAAATAAATAAACAACGTATATTGGAGTGCGGTCAATTTTTTTTTTTTTTAACTTGTAGGGATTTGAAATCAAACAGTTTGGAAACTACCGAACTAGAGTAGCAAACTGCCATCTCCAGACCAAATCCCGCCTGCATCTGGTTTGTACAGCCACAGGCTAAAAATAGTTTCCACATGTTTAAATGATTATTATATATAAGTGCCAACCTAATATACTCAATTTGCATCTTGACTCATAAAGCCTAAAATATTTACTACCTACACCTTTACCAAAAAATTTCCCTCCTTCTGCCTTGGGGAATGAGCTCCTTCCAGTATCATGAGCTGCCCCCTTGGTCCTGCGTCCTCTGGGAGGGACTCTGTCAGTCACTGGCAGTGACTCCTGCCCTGGGCCACAGTTATCTTCGCAGTTGAGGCCTCCCACCATGCCGGTTACCCAATATGACCAACAGGTTGAGCCCACCAACCTCCTGGGGCCCAGGTCATGCCAGTGCACATGTGTGCCAATTTTTAATTCCAAACCTATAAGGCAACGACACAGAACATGGCCAGATTCTGGTAACAGATAACCACCCTGTTCAATCGATTGCAAAAGAATAAAACTAACTTGTTAAATTTTTTGCTAAAAACAGGGTAAGACAAATTATGTTTCTAGATTTAATCTATTCTTTTTTTTAAAAAAAGAGGTCAACTACTTTTAAAATATGAAATTATATATTTAGAAGGTATACAGTTCTTTAGAAGACCCTGATTAAGGTGTGATTGTGCCTTAAAACACAACAATTCATCAAGAAAGTGCTTTATTTCAAAATACAGAAAAATATTCACTTTGAACAGCTAAGATACAAAGAGTAATCACTGCTTTAATACTAATATGGCTCATTCCTTAGGCGTGGCATTTCCCATCATGTGCTCCTTGAACTGCCTGCAGCAAAGGGCACTTATTTAAGAAATGCTGATTCCTGTGCCCCACCCACCTACCAAATCTACATCTCCGGGAATGGTGCTGAGAAATACGGATTTGTAACAAGCTCGCTTTGGTGGTACTGATGGATACTGAAGTCTGAGACTCACTGGTCTACAAGAGACTCTTTGTGGTGTACCTGCTCTTGTCTTGCTCACATCATTTTTTTTAGTTCTTTAATAGTCTTCAATACATTCCTTCTCTCTTATTACAACTGATATCTTCCTACAACTGATATCTTCCTAGAAGCCTGAACTCTCTTAGGTTTCCAATTTCTGTTTGCTGACAAATCCAGATGACCTCAATATTCTCTTCTGCTAAGTCAGACACATACCTAATTGCTTGCCTCACAATTTCCTTTACTTCCTCAGCACCCTGTCCTGGTCCATTTATCAGGACATATGTCCCCTCTCTCCTATTTCACAGTATTGATTTTTTTTCTCTCTGAATAACTCCACATATGGAACATTTGCTATGTGCCAGGAACTGGGCTAAGTGCTTTATTAACTCTTTTAATCTTCAAACAACTCTATGAAATAGACGGTTCTTTCTTTGTTTCTCCCATTGAAGTGACTGGTTCCCAAAGACTCTGGGTGAAGCACAGTGAGAACTGCATTCTCCTGCCTTCTGAAGCCCCCCACTCATCTTCATCACTGTGTTGCTTCTCAGTTTGGGATTTTTTTTGGTTGTTGTTTGGCAAAATAGTGTTTGGCAAAATAGAGATAGAGAAGTAGTATCCAACTGTGGTCCTAACTTGATCCCAACTTTTGAATATTTGGTTGTTACTAGAGAAGATTGACAAAAAGATTCTCTTTTCGAAGCCTAAATAGTCCAGTAAAGAAACATGCTTTACACAGTCATTTTTATTCCATTCTACTATGGTCTGGGATAGTATGTTTTCTAAAGCCATTTTCATTCAGGGATTTTGTTCTGTATGTGTTGAGAAGGAAATAGGGAATCAAGTTTGCAACAGAAATCTAATATTCTATTAAAACCAGACACAATTACAATCTCCACAAAGCATAAATGAGAATATAAGAAACATACCTTTGGCCCTTCAGGCCCTGGAAATCCCCTCTGCCCTTGATTTCCTTTGCTCCCTTTCTTTCCTTCATCACCCTGAGAAAATAATTACAGAAATACAGTTATGTATTAACAAATCCTGATCAGTGTTATAATAACCATATCAAGGCCAGAGTCTCATCTAATACCAATTTTAAAACTATGTGCCCTAAGCCCAGCCTGACTGTAAAGGTTTTTTTTTTTTTTATTTCACATAAACAATGAAATATTGTTTCCAAAACAACAAAGCTTTGAATGTAAGTATGTCCCATGCAACTGGGCATCCTATATATATATTTTTTTTGAGAGGGCATCTCTCATATTTATTGATCAAATGGTTGTTAACAACAATAAAATTCTGTATAGGGGACTCAATGCTCAATGCACAATCATTAATCCATCTCAAGCCTAATTCTCGTCAGTCTCCAATCTTCTGAAGCATAACGAACAAGTTATTACATGGTGAACAAATTCTTACATAGTGAATAAGTTCTTACATGGTGAACAGTACAAGGGCAGTCATCACAGAAACTTTCGGTTTTGATCACGCATTATGAACTATTTATTGGTGTTTTTGAGCAGATTGGATAACTTTACTATTGTTCAGTCTTCACCATTTATTCATTTATTTAATATTTTTAAAAGCTTAAGTTCAGTATCTGTCTTTGAGGACTTTTACTTGAATTTACTGTTCTTTTGCACCTGTGGTCTATTAACAGATGACTCTGTGACCTTCACAATTTCAGAAAAGAGAGCTGTCTATGCTATTTCATACTGTTTTTTAGTTCTTACTCTCTTTCAGTTTTAAAACATAAAATGAGATATTTTTCAAATCCAGCTTCATTTCTTCCTCAGAGGAGAGTCCAGAAACCAAACCTTCTATTGGTAGAGAGATGGATAAGCATTAACGGGTCAGAGCAAAACTGCCCGTGGCTGATCCCCAGCCTGGTTGTCTGTGTCCATCTTCCCTGGAGAGAATTTTGTTGCCTTCAACCAGAAGCTTCAGAGTGATACAAAACTACTCTTAAACTAGGCTCAATGGCAAATTACCATATCCAAATGTGTGTCCCGCTCAACAAAGGAATAGCTCCTGTGAGTCTGCAGCTGAGGCCATCTAAATATTTATGACACAAATGACTATACCACAGTTTTCAAACCAGAGCATGCATCAGAATCACGTGGAGGGCTTAGCCAGGCTAGCCCACAGATTGCTGGACCCCACATTCAAAGTTTCTGATCTAATAGGTCTGCACTGGGGAACTTTACTCCAAGAATTTACATTTCTGTCACATTCCCAGGTTGTGTTGATGCTCTCGGTCCTGGGACTACACCCTGAGAACCATTGGATTATACCAAGGTTATCAGCAATGCAGACACTCCACTAAGGAGAAGAGGTGATATTCCATAGAATCTATGGAGATGAATTACCCACTCAAAGTCCGTACTAATGGAGATCAGTGACACAGGTAATAAAAAAACAAACACAAATGGTCAAGTGTCTAAATATCACTTACTACATCATTATTATTTGCCAATAGAGATAAAATCTAACCTGAACTATTTATTTTCTTCTACTCACTACCAAATTTAATTTATTGGCCTAAATCACTCCAGAAGACAAAAGCCAGAACTCAGCTAGATGTAATTAAGGGCCAACATTGAACCATAGCACGCCTGGGCTAAGTGACACATTCCTACTGCTCCTCTCCAGTAGCCTTCCATAAATCATCTCTAAGCTGCAAATCCACTGGCCTCTTTCCAAACCACCTTATTCTTACTCATTGGTGGCATTTGACACCACCATTGCTTTCCTCTTGAAACCCCTTCTCCTTGGTTTCCCTCACATGGTAACTATTTTGCTTATCTTTATGCTATTCTAAATGTTCTTCCTCCAGCTACTGTACAACGTGGGTTTCAAACCTCAACTCTCTTTCTCAGAGATATCATTCAATCTTACAGCTTCAGTTACTACCTCCAAGGCTCTATCTCCCAAAAGCATATTCTAGAAATCATTAGTTCTCCTGAATGTTAATAGAAAAGCATTTCTAAAAGTATTTTTGCATGATGTTAGGAACATATTCTCTGTTGCCTTCTTCCAAAAGGATCTCGCAGTCTGGCAAGTCAATTTTTAAAATGGCTGAAATTCTATAAATATATTTAAATTTTAAATTCTCACGTTTAAGGTTAAGGCCTCAATTCTAGTCATATTTTCACATGACATAGCCTTCTTAAACTATCAATTATTATGTTAATACAATTAAAATAGAACACTAATAAATAGACAGATCTTAATTTTACTTTACTCCTATATAATTCTTCAGGATCTTTATGTAGGCAGTAAGAACTATACATAAAAATTGCAGGAACATCTGACACCTTACAGGCTGTCGGTTATGTCACTAACGGTCTTGGTGAGTTTGGATATTCTCATTTTGACATATAAAGATATTATTCAGTGCATTGTAGCATTTCTACAATGTGTAAAATAAATTTATGCCATTTTTTTGAAAGTGAAACTGCCATTTAATAAGGTGGTATTTCTTTTTACTGCAAGATTCTATAAATATTTGAAGAAAATACATGGACTTGCAAATCTCAAGGATGTATCTCAAGGCTTCTTTTCCTTTCCTATATATTTTTTAAATGTCAGTCTTGCCATTTATTGAGAAAACATGCATTGAACTCTTCCTGTAAGTTGGGACTTATGCTAGATCTCAGGAAAATGAAAACGAATAATACATACTTGCTGTCTTCCAAAAGCTCCCAAGCTAGTATCCATAATTTTAAGCCAGAAGTAAACACATTTGACATAGCAAGAATAACAACCAAATTTCTCCTAACTTGGCTCAGTAATATAGGGACCAGAACACAGGCAGTCTGTGTCCCCCACCACATGGTCAATTCCATACCTTGGGGCCAGGGTGTCCTTTTCCAGGCAGTCCTTCTGGGCCTCTTGTTCCTGGAAGCCCGGCTTCTCCCTAGAGGAAATGGTACTGCTGTCTCAGTTGACCCTTCATAGGCAGTTCATATAAGCCCACCTTGTCTCCTTTTATGGCCAGTGGCTCTGCTGAGACCCTCCAAAACAGACCAGACCTTTACTCTAGTCTCAAAATTAATTTGGAAATTTACCAACTTAAATAAATTAATACCAAACTCCAATTTAGCTCAGAGCAGCTGAAATATTATGAAAGAGTCCAATTTCTAAGCCAATTTCCAAAGTAATAAACTTGTTTTCCTTTGACTCATCATTCATATTTAGTGGTTTGTTTCTTTTTTTAAAACAAGAAAGACCTTCAGCCTTTCCATCTGCTGTTTTTTGCTCCTTATATTGAAAAACGAGTATTTCAAATGTCAACTCAAAATATTTCAGGAAATCTTTATAATGGCCTTACATCCTGAATGTATATATAGACTTTCATTTTGGAGAAGCGGAAGAAAAAAGTGTTTCTCTCTAAGTTTAAATTTAAGTGCTTTCTAGGAATCCCAAAGGCACTAGGTGACTTTGGCCAAAATACCTGAGTGAAGGCAGAGGGTGTGAGATTCTACTCAGCCCTTGAGTTGGTGCTCTT